ATTCACTAAGAGCTAATGGATCATAACAGACCGGGGTCACCACCTGACTGGTCTCAACGTCCCATGAGGGGGTGGGGCTCCGTGGTTGCCAAGACTCTCCAGGCCCAAGGGCAGCCTCTCCAGTGTTCCTGCCAGACTGTGCCCTTCATGCAGTCACTGACTTCTGCTCACCGTCACGTCCCGGCTCCCGGCACAGAGGCTGACACAATGGTGCCCAACAAACGTATTTGGAATAAATGCGTAATGTTCTCAAGTGATGCCTCAGGCAACTATTTTTTTGTTCTATTTATTGGTTTTATTATTTTATTTAATTTAAATTTAATTTGCCAGCATATAGTATAACACCCAGTGTTCATCCCATCACGTGCCCTCCTCAGTGCCTGTCACCCAGTCACCCCATCCCCCTGCCCCCCACCTCCCTTTCCTCAACCCTTTGTCTGTTTCCCAGAGTTTAGGAGTCTCTCATGGTTTGTCTTCCTCTCTAATTTTCCCCCAAAAAGTGCCCCCCCTTCCCTTATGGTCTCTTTCGCTATTTCTTATATTCCCTCAGGTAACTATTGAAATCATTTGGTGACAATGAGCCAGGCCACTGTGCTGGACACTGTAGTTATAAGCAGCAGGGATCATCCTTTTTTTAGGTCCAAAGTAATGACCCCAGTTCATCAGAGACACCTACAGTTTCTCTCCCTGCTCAGCCCTGAAGGCTCTCCTTTTGGTTGTTACTGGTGCAAATGCCAGCTCTTTAGGAGACATTGTCATAATTTCTTCTGTGACGTCCTGCGCTGCACTTGTTCAGTCTAAAAGTTCTGACTACAGACTTCAAATCTGGGCCAAAGAATATTCAACTGAAGTCAGGCGCCCGGAGTTCAGCAGCGCTACAGGCCTAGTAAGAGCGAGTAGTCACGGAGCATTGGCGGCGTGCCTCGCACTTGTAGGCATGATCTCATCTAATCTCCAAGAAAATCCTATGTAAATGTTGCTATCGTCATTTTACTTATGAGGAAAGCAGGGTTCCCAGAGCATATGTGCCTCGTTCAATGCCGCAGAGCCACGTGTGATATTGGCTACTTTAAGGCTCAAACGCGTCTGCCTGCTTTCAGTTTTGTCTTCCTTCAAATGGTGATAAAGTCACCTTGTGGGGTAAATAAACATTGCGGTGTTGATGCAGAGCAGCAACTGTAGAGCACCACCCACCTTCTAGATGAGCAGTGCTACTGCTCCAATGCAAAGCAGAGTATTAGAGGGAGGCCAGCACGAGATGGATAAACACCCCCCACCCCACACACACACTCTTAGTTACCTTCCCAACGCTCCATCCATCGACAAACTTTGCCAAACACCTACTTTGTGCTGTTTACACAAAAATGAATAAGAGAGAGAGTCTTTGGCCTGGGGAGGCTCACGGTCTTAGGAGCATTTCCGTGACTTACTGAGGCTCGAGGTTGGGTCTACACACTTACCCCAAGAGTCACCATTGCCTGATGGTATCCTTGTTCCTCTGGAGGAAAGGTGAGGGTGAAGCAGGATCCTGATGGTCAGACCTCTAGGACAAGAGATAAGAAGTCAGGTAGGAAGTAGAAAGGAGGCCACGCTAGCTTTGAGAGTCACACCCCAGGGAGGAAGGAAACTCTCCATTCCTACAAATGATGATAAGCAGAGTGGTTAATGGGTCCAAATAGTCCTTTGCTTTCCTGGCCGCATGACCTCTGCTAAATTACACAACCTCCTTAAGGAGAACCCCCTCCTCAGTGCATTGGGGGGGGGGGATCTTTTAGAACGAAAGCTTCACTTATCCAACTTAGCCAAGATTTAAAAGGACTGAAATACCACAGAATAAAAGCTGAATGATTTTTCCAACAATGAAAACTACTGTTTTTTTTTTGTGGGGGGGGTAAAGAATATCGGGTATTTTTTGTTATGCTTTTAAATTCATCATCTCATTAGGTCTTCCAAACAGCCCCATGAAGCCCACTAGAAGAAAAGGCTCATGCCCATTTTACAGACGGTGAAATTGAGACTCGGATGAAGTCTCCCGAGGTGACGTCATCTGATTAAGGTCACACTGTGAGGAGTGGCAAAACGGAAACAGCACTCAGTGCTGGGTTCGGGGTCCAACACTATCTTTCCAGGCAAATGTTTGTGGAGAAAAATGGAAAAAACACAGACACGCACCTGTATTACCTGGAGAAGCTTTGAAACGCCCAATTCCTGGGCACTGCTGAGACCTTGTAAACAGGGACATGTAAACAGAGCATGGGGACTGCTAGGAGCCCACTTTTCTGGCCCCATTTTCAGCAGTATGTTCAGTTCTGAGCATTTTCTTTTGAGACTGATATAAACAAAGTAGAGCTTTCTGGCTCCTTTACGTACATATTCATTCGGTAGATGTACCTTGAGTGCTTGCTTTGTGTGGGCGATGGAGGCCTAGTGTGACTGGCCAGAATGATGTGGGGGGTTGGGGAGATCCCCAAATCATGTCAGATGAAGGAATTACAGATGTTCAGGCCAGAGAAGTAAAGACAACGTGAGGGTATAATCGTTGCCTTCACAAGGTTGGGTCAGACCTATTTCTACCTTCAGAGAGCAGAATTTGAAGTTGAAAAATCTATCCTTGTTTTGCAGCTTTAACCAAAATGATAACAAAAAAAAAAAAAAAAAAAAGGGCATCCGGAAGCCGGGGGCAGACGCGGCCTTGCTCTGTTGGTTTTTGAGGACGGGCTCTGGCTTGCCTCGAGCTGGCTGCCAGCCCTCTCCCCCCGCCCCCCCCGGGCTCCCCCACCCAACTGCGACCCCCAGAGTCATGTCTCCACCCCCTACTCACCTGCTCAAAAACCCCACTTGAACTTTCCGGAGCTTTCCCAGACCCTTGGCCTGTTGACAAGACCTGACTGATGGAACAGCCCTCTCTACTGGTCTCTGCTCCCGGCCCCAGGCCTTCCTTCAGAACTGGACATTCCCTCCGACCACAGAGCTTTTGCACGTGCTCCCCTTGCCCCCCGCAGTGCCCCCGGCTCCCCGTCCCCTGCACACCCCTTGGTCTGGTTCACGCGGCCTCCTGCTCTCAGCAGCAGGTCCTCAGGACAGTCTTCCTCAGCCCCCGACTAGGGCAGAGTCTTTGTTACAACTTCCCTCTCCTTCCCCCGGTGGTTCTGCTCACTGACTACCCCTGGGCCCCGGGGGCTGTGGTCATGCCCTTTAGGTCTAGCTCCCCTCACCACCAGCTCTGGGCTCCTGGAGAGCAGGGGCCGCGTCCCGTGTCTGTCCTGCTCATCGGTGTCTTCTCAGGCCTGGGCACTCGGTGGACAGCGTGGAATAATGCTGCGTGACGCAGGTGACAGGGAAGGCCAGGGGCCTGCCGCCTCCACTTCTTGATCTCCAGGAGGCAAGACGTTTTAAAAGGGCCAGTTTGATGAAGCCATCTTCGTATCCGTGCCCCTGCCAGGGTGCAAAGCCACTGGGCTTTTTCGCCAAGCAACATGCACAGCTGACACCCCCGACCTCGTGCTGCCCCTCATCCCCGCCCCGACCCGCAGGGACGCTCGCAGTCTTCTTGGTCTCTGTTTTGTTTGAATTTTTATGAGGTGAATTATTTTTATAATCGGCAAAGGCCAGGAAGAGAATATTTGAAGTCTGTCAGAACTGGGTTAAGACTCGAAGGTGACATTAATTCTGCCTCTAAAAATCAAAATTTGGAAGGAAGTATAATGTATTTAGTGTATGTTCTTTATTGAAAACCTTTAAAGAAGCACTGGAAACATAATCGGAGTTTTTCTGGGCATTCGGAAGTTCAGAAAAAGGGATAATGGTGCGATTCAAATGTCCTCATTGCCTTCATACCCCAGGCCCAAGGACCCAGAAGAGGGGGTCTCACGGGACCAACCAAGAGGGTGTCAGGCTTCTCGCAGGATGGAGATCAAATGGGAGCCAGCGCGAGGGGAAAGCAGGGTCCGTTGAAGACAGTGAGGGACCAGATGCAGACGGACTCTTAGTCCAAGAGACTCAGAAAGGAAAGCGAAGACTCTCCTTTGCTTGGGATCTGGAGTTTTTTGTTGGCAATTGTGGTCTGGGGTCTGGTGTCTGGTGTCTGGTCAGAACAAGGACAGGTCCAGGTGTCCTTCGGAAGTCACTCATTCCCTGAAGCCCAGGCTCCATCCATCTGGAGTAGGAGCCTGAGGCCTCTGCTCCATGATTCCTTAGACATCATCTGGAATATGCTGGAAGCCTCGAAAGCCATCATTGTCTCTCTGTCCCTTACAAGGAGGACCTATGCTATTCGCATTACAAGGCGTGTGTCGAGTGGGGAGGGGGGCAAGTCCCAGCCGGAATAGAAGCAAAAGGGGAAAAAAAAAAAACACATAAACTTTTTTTCATGGGGTTCCTCCAGTTTTCTTGTCTCAACCCTCCAGGTCAAGTGTGGTTAACCTGAAGGGACCCAGTAGAGAGTCGAGAGGCAGGCCACCAAGACGCCAGCAGATTCTCAGGCAAGGGCCACCGCTTGCTGGTCTGATTGATGGCACCTCCCAAGATAAGTAGAGGGGACCCAGCCAGGGGGCTGGTTCCACCTGCAGGCCGGGTGGCGCCAGCTCCCGCTGTCCCCACCGCACCCTTCCCTGCCCCTGCTTGGCCCTCGACACCCTTCGCACCGACTGCTCCGCAAAGGAAGGCCAGCGATGGCGTGACAGCATTGGTTTTGTCGCAGTGTCAGTTGCTTTCTGGAGCCCAGAGCCTTAGTGTGTGTTTTGTTTGGCCCAAGTCAAAGACCCCACATGTGAAGTGAACACCCTCAAATGCCACTTACCCAAGACTGGGCCTCGCTTCCTCCTGCCAGGCCCCTAGATTCTGGCTCCCTTCTGGCTTCTCCGCTGGTGACCATCTCTTTTTTTTTTTTTTTTTAAAGATTTTATTTATTTATGAGAGACACAGAGGGAGAGAAGCAGAGTCACAGGCAGAGGGAGAAGCAGGCCCCACGCAGGGAGCCCGAGGTGGGACTGCATCCCAGGTCTCCAGGGTCACACCCTGGGCTGAAAGCGGCGCTAAACCTCTGGGCCACCGGGGCTGCCCAGGTGACCGTCTCTTTGTGGCTTGGTTATGAGCAAGAACCAGCAGAGAGCTGCTAAGGAATCTGTGCTCTCAGCTGGGTCAGAGGAGGGACGGAGGCCTGCGCCGCCGGAGCCGAGCCCTCAGCAAGGACAGCACAGGACTTGCGGGCTCCCCCGGGCAGGTGACCCTCGGCTGCGTGAGTCCCTCCACATTCAAGTGGGTTTTCTCCCTTCACGGCTGGTAGGCCGGCCCCCGAGGATCCCACCTGCGAACCTGTAATTTTGAGTAGTTTTAAGTGTTGGAGTGGGGGCGGGGAACGGAAAGAAAAAGTTTGAAGCATAACAAATTTTTGGAGAATCCGAGAAAACAGTACTGCCTGGATTCAACGATTAGGCAGGCAGATCCCAGGAGACGAGGGGAGTCAGTTTACCCTTAGTTATGCAAGCCCATGACCAGCCCTTACCCTGAATGGTGTCTATCTGACCCTTGATAAACAGTCTAGGGGATGGATGAGTGGAGGGTGGAGGGAGGGATGGAGGGATGGAGGGATGGATGGAGGGATGGAGGGAGGGATGGAGGGAGGGATGGAAGCTCCACTGTCGGTGTTCATCCCCGCGCAGACGCCGTCAGTGCCTTGCCTGGGTTCTCGCTCTTCCCACTTCTACACTCAAAGGGCTACTTATTTCCCAGACCTGCCGCTCTGTCTCTGTGAACCTTCATCTGGCGGGGTAACCGGCTCCCTTGCATCTCAGTATGGGTGACTGACATGTGTCCACACAGTGGGATTAACCCACCACTTGCCCTCACTGGGAACGCACGTGCTTCAGTGCCTTTCTTTCCTCTTCCACTGTTTCCTGGGATCACCCTGGACACGAACTACCTGCCCCCGGATCCGTGTTGTAGAGCCTGCTTCTGGAGAACCAATCTAAGGTGCCCATCTCACTAACTGCTCTGTACATGTGACCAACCGGTCCCCAGGTGTCACCCTGACCCTCTGTCTTCTTCCTAGAAACAAGAATAATCTCGTAAGAGGAGTGGCCCCGAGCTTCACTGGAATCGTAGTATTGAACCCTGTCCAAGGGCAGAGTCACTGGGTTTTATTGCCAAGGACTGTGCTCGGCCAATGTTCCCAACCTCGTGCTGTCGGTGACCTCCGCCCCCGTCCGGAGGGACTCCCACACTCTCCTTCATCGATGTTTGGTTTGAATTCTTATGTGGTGCATTATTTAACCCACACCTAATTGGAATAGTATTAAACTCATTCTTGATTAATTCTCCCTGGAAAATCTCATCTTATTAAGTACTTACCAGAAGTTCAGCTTCATTACCGAGGCTGATCGGATTCTGTTACTTAATGGCTTGAAGGAGGACGAATGTCAGACACGGACCCGTTTTTCTGGTCAATCTTCTTTGACAACACAGTTTTCCTGACTCGAAGGCTGTCATGTTTGAAAGAACAGTCCCTTTAGCTTGGGTCTGATTATTTAAGTATCTAAATTACCTACGGATGCTCAGGATGCCTGCAACTGGTTCTAGCGACACTTCGGTAATGGTTTCTCCCCCCCGGGAGCATTTACTTCCAAGGACTCCTGGGTCCCACTCCAGGCCACTCAGAGGCGATGTCCTGGCAGAGATTTTAGGTTCTGCAGGTGGTTCTAACGTGCAGCCAGGGGTGAGGACCACCGATGAAAGGGCACAGAGCTTCGAGGAGGCCATGAGCACCAGCCCCCCTGGGAGCCACAGCCCTGTACAAAGCAGGATCACCTGGTGGCAGCTCCGGGTGACCCTGCGCCCGCCGTAATGACAGAGTGGCTGCACGTGTGGCCTGCTCCACCTTCCCTCCAGCTTCACTCCCTGCTCGAGCCAAGAGGCCTCAGGAAGCCTCCTCGACCTATGACCCACGCTCTAATGAGAAAACACCCACCAGGCAATGACCTTTTGTTCCCAAAGCATCCCCCCCAAAGCCTCCCTTCCCTGGGGGACATTTCAAATCAGGAATTTTATCTTCTCACTGGAAAGTCTGGGCAGTGGAGCCTCAGGCATTTTCATTCATTTCCCTCTCTTTCAATCTGGGTCAATCTTTTCAATCTTTTGCTCCTGGCTGAAACACTGGGTATTTTCTCAGCCTCGGTGGATGGGGCTGCCTTGATCTTGGGGGTGGGGGGGGTGGGTAACTCTAGAAAAGGAGTTCCTCTTGTTCCGGAAACAAAGAAATTTAGAAGAGAAAAGAGAGAAGGAACATAGAACCTAAAGCTGCACCTCAGTTTATGACTGGCCTCTGTTAAGAGGCCCCTTAATGGCCTTGGGCACCCCAAAGGACTCTCTTTAAGCCTGACAAAGCTCTCTCATAAAATATCGAGAAACCACGGTGAGCATTTGGGACTCCAAGCCAAATGGCAACTACATTTAATTAAGTAGGTCCACAAAGTTTCTAAGACGTTTGTGTATTTTGGGGTGTGCTGCATTCTTCTGAGGGGACGGTCTCATTAGACCCTGTGGAGTTTTAGGGTGAGCGACCTTGTGCCCAAACACAGATGTTGGATAGGAGGGACTTAGGTCGAAACTTCTACACACCCTGGGTCTCCTCCCTCACTCTGTTCTCTTACCTCTTCTCTTACCACCACCCCTTGCCATCTAGGGGCTCTGGGATGCCACCACATGTAGATTCCTGGTCTCAAAAGGGAATCAGAGCCGTGCCCAGCACGAGACAAGGCAGCGTGAACAAAGCAGTCCTAGGAGGCAAGACCCCGGGTTAGCTCAAGAGTGCGGTGGAAGCAAGAGGAGGTTGGGACACAAAGAAGCACTTTGAGAGGCCCCAGAGACATTGCGGGAAGGAGCATGGAGGCTTCCACCACTCTGACACTCTGCTTGAATGTTCGAGAAAAGCATCACCCCCGGAAGCCCAGGTAGCCTGCGATATCCCGGCAGCTGAGACTTGGTTTTGCAGTTCCCTGTGCACCATCGTTCTGGCCTGGCCAGTTCCGAAGACCTGACAGCCAAGATGGGAAGGGAAACATGTTTCTGTCTTGCTTTCTCTGCATTGGCCTGGGTTAGAGGAGAGCTGCTCCTCGCAAATCTAGAGGACACAACCATTAGAAGTGAGAAAATCCGTATTTGGTCAGAGGGTCAAGATGGAATAGTGCGCCAGGAGATGGGAGACAAGGGGAGCAGGGGCCTGGGAACTCCGGGTCTGAGATGGGCTGGAACCCATCTCTCAACTGGCTCTTTTTCTTTTAAGATTTTATTTATTTATTTAGGAGAGACACAGGCAGAGAGAGAAGCAGGCTCCATGCAGGGAGCCCCCATGTGGGACTCGATCCCAGGTCTCCAGGATCAGGCCCTGGGCCGAAGGCAGCACTAAACCACTGAGCCACCCAGGCTGCCCTCAACTAGCTCTTGACGCAGAGCATGTAACACTTGCAGAAAGGTGTTTGCCGTCATTACTGCTAAACAGTGACACTTGTGTTCAACATCCAACTATACAGTTTACACTTGTTCCAATGATGGAATTTTAGGAGCTGGACCTGGGGCAATAGAAGGGGGTGGGCGTTTCGATGGCACCCTTCCTAACTATGGTCCTAACCCACCTCAGTCAGTTAATTAAGGCAGAGACTGAAGGTTGGGATCCACGGGGAAAAGAACATTTGGGAATAGTAACCACTGATGCTCACTGAGTGCCTTCTCTGTGCCAGTACCATGCCAGGCACGCTCCGTTCGTATGCTCTTCACAGCAATGCTGCGATGCAACTTTTTGTGCATGTTAACAGATATGGAAACTGAGGCCGAGGAGATTCAGAATGGGCACAAAGTCACAGAGCAAGGAAGTGGTCCGGCAGGGGATCTGCTTTTCTTTAGTGATTTATTTATTTGAGAGAGGGGAGAGGGAGAGATAGAGAAGCAGACTCCCCACTGAACGTGGAGCCCGATGCAGGGCTCCATCCTGGGATCCTCAGATCATGGACCTGAGCTGAAATCAAGAATCTGATGCTCAACTAAGCCACCCAGGTGCCCCTGGCAGGGAATTTGAACCCAGGCCAGCTGCCTTCAGCATCCACACACTCGCCACTACGATTTTTTTGCCTCTTTGTTGTGTAGGTGTTACACTCAGGCCCTGGTTACACACAACCTTTCAGAACCATTCGGGCCCCTCCCATAAGCACAACACCCAGTGCAGAGGACTTTACCCCCAGATAGCAGATATCCTGACTTAAAACAACACGGCTATTAAGGTGCCGCCTGGAAGTTTTTGCTTTTGTTACATACATCTCTTTGCCAACCTAGTTGCTGGTCACGTGGTAAAAACCATAAAAGAAGAATGGTTCCAATACATTTCTGTGACTTGACATTCCTAGTAATTTAGATTGCAGGCAAATAAGAATTTATTGCAATTTGAACAACAAATGGGTCATTGTCAACCTCAACTTGGCTGAATATATATATATAGCTCGCTCCTTTCGTTATTTATTGCCTGCTAAAATAACAACTGTTTCCCTAGGTGTTGCGTTTAGTAGGAAAATTATATTTCATTTGAATATACATGTGTAGTAGTTCTTTTGAGTTAAAACTTAGTGAAGCTCGTTTTAAAACATAGCGTATCTGATTGAAGATCGTATGCACAGGACATTTCTCTACGTCCTTTTTTATGGGGATATAACTGACATGTGACATTATATGAGTTTCAGGTACAACATAATGATCTTATATTTGTATATATTGTGAAATGATCACCCTGGTAAATCTAGTTAATGTCCATCACCATACGTAGTCGCAATTTCTTTCTTGTGATGAGAACTTTGAAGATCTACTCTCTTCCCAACGTTCAAATATGCAAAACAATGTAACTACAGTTGCCGTGCTGTACATTATAACCCCATCATTTTATAATTGGAATTTTATACCTTTTGACCTCCTCCATCCATTTTGCCCATTTCTCCCACCCCCCAGCCCCATGGAAACCACTTCTATGTCCTTTCTGAGGGCTTAGGGACCAGCTTAACTGCCGGCTTCAGTCTTTTATTGCAAACCTATGCAAGTAAAATGGGAGACCGTTTCTTCCATTTTGAGGTAGTATCTCTCACCTTAGAATTAAGAACTGGAGGTTTATCAGATACTGATGCTGCATGATCAAAAATACTTTTTGTGGTATGACATCGATTTTTAAAGGGGAAGTTCCAGGATTATCATCCTGTTATATATATTTTAAAAATCTATATTTCAAATACAAAATGCATTTTCAGTTCTGTATTTTGGTGTATATTTGAACCCATGTTAGCCCATAGGTAGAAAGCAAGAAGAGGGTTTTTAAGAGCACCTGGGTGGCTTAGTGGTTGAGCATCTGCCTTTGGTTCAGGGCGTGATCCTGGGGTCCTGGGATCGAATCCCACATCAGGCTCCCTGCGAGGATCCTGCTTCTCCCTCTGCCTGTGTCTCTGCCACTCTCTCTGTGTCTCTCATGAATAAATAAATAAAATCTTAAAAAAAAAAAAAAGAGCTTCTCCCTGTGAGATTCAGAACTTGTACAGCATCATCAGCTAGTCTCAGTGCTGTTGGTGAAATCTGGCTTCTCGGATAAAACAGGATCCCAAGAAATGACATTTACAGAGTGTGGGTCGAGCCAGTTTGGAGCAAGACTTCTCACATTCACTCTGTAGTCCTCACTGCTGGCAAGGACTGAATTGTGAACATTTTTAGCACGAAGAGCTGGCACTTGGCTCTGGCCATCCCCTACCCCCCTGCCTGGAGTCTAGAGCCTGTAGAGAACCAGATAAAGGGTTGTACAGTTTGCTCCTAATAACCATGTCCTCTTGACATTGTGAATTTTTGCACAAAATTGCCCAGAAGGCATAACAAAATGCTCTTCACTTCACTGAATCATTTCTGTGAGTGAAAAAATATATAGTGATCATGGGAGAGATTGACTGGGGCGGGGGGGAGTTTCCTTTTCCAAAGATTTTGGAGCCAACTGGAAGTTTCTTCCCACCCAGGGAAAAACTGCTATAACACTTAGGGGGAAAGAAGTAAAAATTTGTTTAAGTGTGAGTCATGACGAACCTAGGGATTAGAAACTTAGAAAGAAGAAAACTTATCTGAGCAAGGACAGTAGCCAAAAAATTCAGAGCAAAATTGGGGGGTGAGGGGGTAGGAATCCTGACGCTCCCAGACTTTTCAGACTCGTATGTGTCTGGTGCTGCTGAGAGATACCTTGCACCCAACTATTCCCCCCACTGGGCTACATGGCGTTTCACCCCACCCCACACCACCACCACAGTCTCCGTTTAGGTAAAGGTACATCTCTGCAAAGCACAATGAAATGTTATCTGGAAGAAGGGACACGTCAAATCCAACATTACTGATTTTCAGACTCTCAGAATCCCTGAGGTAGAGACTAAGGTCGGGTAAGTTTGGAAATTGAGTGGAGAAGGGAAAGAGGATCCAAAAATAGGTTCAGATTATAAGATGGGTTGTGCAGGGGGCCCGGGGCCCTAGGTTTTGGGGCCTGGAGGTGGGACAGAAGCAAAATAACCTCTGGCTGCCTCTCCATGAAGGTCCCATCAACCATGACAGGTACGCACAGGGTTTTGGCCGGTTTTTCATAAGCTGTTTTGCAGGACTTGTCTTCTGTCCCCACGAGGCCTGCAGACCCGGCTGCGCCACACGCAGCAGGACTCTGTCCACGGTGTCTACGCAGCTCTGGTTTCAGTGGCTCCACCAATCAGGATGGCTCACTTGCTGGGGACTGTGACAGAAGCAGCGGGTGCCTGAGATCCAGAGGCAGAGGTCTCCTCCCCCCGCCCCTCCAAACCTGTCCTCGTGGACTTCGCCACTTGCTGGGTCACCACTGGGTGAGCAGGTGGCCATGGTCCTCTGGCCTCGAGGGGTGGAGGCGAGAGGGTCAGCCCGTCCGGGGGATCCTGAACCCACACAAGCAGCCTGAGTCCCCGAGGCCCACGGGGCGCCCCTGGGTAGTCGGCATCCTGCCCTCCTGCTCTGCCCAGAGTCACTCCCCAGGCCACACGGCTGGTCACCCCCCTGCTGCCCAGTCCGTTACCTCACGGCGGCTGGAAGCTTCTGACTGGCCTCCGGGGCTGCACACAGGCCTGTTTCCGTCCACGTGGCGCTTTCAGGCCCCAGCCACCTCGGTGATTACCTGAGCCCCACAGGACATCCTTAAAATAGGGGAGCCCCAGATAGCAGCCCGGACACATGGACCTGTTTCTTGTCTAAATTAAAAATGCCCAAGTCTATTTTTTCCCCCTCTTTCTGGGAAGCTGACCTAAACAAGTAAGGATGTGCTATAAATGCCTTTCAAGACTCAACTTGTAGGTTCTAATTATAATTAGGACGGTAATAGCATTACTTGGCATCTCCGTGCGCCTCCTGCCAGCGCGGGAGCATCCTCTGCTGCGAGGGCAGGCCTCCAGGTCACCTGCCCCTGCCCCTGCCCCTGCCTCCACCCGAGGCACAGGGCCCACGGCCGGCTGACTTCCCGGGGCCTCCGGCCGCCCTCCGCCGTGTGCCCCGACGACGAGCCTCTCGGCCCCTGCCCCGGTGGCTGGCCTGGGGGTGCCTTCGGAGGCGCCCGACCCGGCGGCCCAGTGCCTTCCTGCTGCTGGGGCCTCGGTGCCACCCGGCCCCGCAGACCGCTGGGTGCCAGGGAGTGAGCTCGGCTTCCTGCCCCTTCCTCTGAGGGTGCAGAGATCCCAAACCTGCCCTGGGTGGACGCTGTGCCCCGTTATCCCGGGTCAGGGCAGGGATGGCCCTGGGCTTGCTTCTGTCCATGTCCCTGGGACTTCGTGCCAGCGTGGCCGGGGCCAGGTATCACACAGGAGCTTTGCTGTGTTTTCCAGGGTCCCTTTGAACTTGCCGTGTGGGCTCGTCTCCTGGCCCTACAAGGACACCCGGGGAAGACCGTCAGACTTTTCTGGTCCCTTTTAGCAAAAAAAAAAAAAAAAAAAAAAAAAGAGTCCTGTGGCCACTGAAATCACAGAAGACAGTCTGGATCCAGAAATTAAAACGTCCAGTCTTATGTAATGAGGAAAACTCTGAACTGGATTTCAAGTTGAGGCCTCTCCTGGCTCCCAGCGTGGACCAGGTGCTGGGGTAGGGTGGTGTGGGGAGGTGTGGGGTGGCGTGGGGGGCAGCTGTGATCGATTCTTTCCCCCACGTCTCCTCTCTTACAATGCAGACTGTGGTTTCTGACACTGTCTCCCCCCCAGGCCTCCCGGCCCCACCCCACCACCTCACCCCACCACACACAGCTGGGGGAGGGCGCAGGAGGTTCTAGGGTGAGCCTTCCCAGGTCTCGGTCAGTATGACAGTTCAGTTTTCTTCAGAGACCCCCACTCCCCCCTTAGCAGCACCCCTGCTGTGTGAGAGACAGGGGTGAAGGGGACAAGGTCCCAGTTGATGCTTCTACCTCCTTGGTTCCTGGAAATTCAGTGACGTCTCTGTGGCTCACAGCCGAGGTTCTTTTACACTCCACCCCCTGCCAACACTGCCATCAAGGTGACTCCCCAGGGTGCAGCATCCATGACCCCACACCGGTCCTCTAAACATTCATGGCGTGTGACTGCATTCTTGGTCCCACATGCCCTCTCCCAGCAAGGCCACGAGCCAGTCCACTGAGACCAACCCAGTTTGGTCCAAGACAGAGTGACCCCCAAACCAAAGGCAACACACCTTAAGTCCTCCATAAGCCCCTCTGTGGGGAGGGGAAGGAGGTGCATCCTGCATCTGTTCCGCTCCTGTGCGGGGATGGGGGGCCCTCAGCTCACACACCATCAGCTTTCTCCAAAGACCCTTAATGAACATCTTGCCTCTCAACTCTGGTTTTAAGTTGGGTGTTGAGAGGGGATGATGAATAATCTCTTCGTACCTGCTTTTGGAACATGGTTTCTATTGTTTCTGGTTCTTTGGATGTAACCCAAACCCGGTGGGAGAAGGAGGCATGAGCAGAAATCCCAGCTGGCCTCCCTCCGGGACCTTCACGTCACACGCTCCCAAGAGTCCTCATTGTTAGAACACGGCTTTTCCCCACCTGCAAGTTGGAGCTTTTATGAAGCAGGTGTGTGGAATCTCTGAAGGAAAATGGAATTAGGATCCCTCTGGGTGTGTTTCCCTGTGAAAATAAGTAGAGCCATACTGCCTTGGCCTCCACCAAAATTTACTTAGGCCTTCCAACAAGGGCAAGCAAGCCACGCTATTTGAGTTCACATTACAAACGTGCCCGGTGGGGGCCTGGTACCCAGGAGTTTATCCACGCAATCTTCATCTACTTCCTGGATTAAGACAGCTGCGGTATGCCCTGGCTTACCTACCCTTCTATTGGTATCATCTGGGTGGCTCAATGAACACTCTGGAGAAGCATCTAGACATTTTGAAAAAATGACGGTCAAAGACCGTGCCTGATACGTTAGCTAATGTCTCGCCTTAGAAAGATAACTGCATCATTAAACACCTATTAAAATTCAGTGCCAGGAGATAGTTCTAGCCATACTCAAACTTGTGTGCTTTCTTTTGTTTGCCAGTGAGAGCTATGGAACTTGGTGTATTTCTCATTTTGCTTCGCCTACCAGGAAGCTCAGCACCAACAGGGATGCTCCACTGCAGTAACTGATTCAACCCAATAAGTTGGTGCATCTACCTTATTCCATGTTTCATTGGTTTCCTTATTTCGTTCTCTCTTGAAAAGCCTTGCTATGTTTTTGGGTGTATTTTAACAGTATAAACCACCTCCAATCCTTTTGTTGTTGTTCTTTTGGTGTTTTCAGGATATAGATCCTAAAGACACAGGAATAAAACTCACATTTATTCATTCCTTCAAAAATATTTATTGATCACCTTCCGCTTGCCCAGCACTTGGCAAGTCTCTCTCTGCTGGTGAAGAGGAGGTGTGCACTGGCTGCCTTTCCTCCTCTTGGGACTCTGGTCACACTGTAGAGTGAGAAACCATGGCGAGCAAGTCAACCTTCACTCCCCTCGGAGAACTCATCCGGTTCACATGCGGGAGGGGAGGCACTGAGAACTCGGGGCCCTGGAGAAGACCCCGAAGAGGAGAGTGAGGACATGGTGGAGTCACAGAGGCCACGGGAAGTGGGTGTTTCCACAGACAGAAGAATCTCCCGCTACAAGGAGATCAAGCCAAGAATTGAGGAGGGCCCACCCAGCAACAAGAAGGTCATTAGCTACTCTGCCCAGAGCACTTTCACGGGAATATTGGCTGGCGGATGCACACGTAGAGACAGTAAGGGCACACAGCTCCTCCGAGAAGTCTGGCTGTGGCAGAGAGAAATCGGCTGCCGGAGGAGGATGTGATGGCTGTGCCAACAGGGGACACAGCAAGGGAAGGCCATCTGGGTAACTCCAAATGATTATCTGAATCTCTGTTGACTTTCAAGTCTTCTTGTGCTTCGGGTAAATGCTACTTTCCCAGGAAAGAGAGGGTCCCAGGATGCCAGGGCTAGCAGGGCAGGCACTTGAACAGCTGTGGCTGTGGCCGCTGTCTCCGCCGAGCACCCAGGATCCCAGGAGCACCTAAGGACTCTTCTCGACGCTGGTGTCTGGCGCGCTTGGCTGCCAGTCCACAGCTGGCCTCCATCCCAGCTTACGAACACCACAGCTTTCCAAAATCTGCACGATCCGTTCCTCCACACAGCAGAGGCCGAGGGCTGCCAACAAGGCCCACGAGCATGGGAAGCGCAGTCACATTCCGCTGTCCCCGCCCTGGGTTCAGGTCCCCCTTGGATCGCAGCCAGTTGCTTGTGGGGTTGACCCTGCATCAGGTGGCTGCACAGTAAGGGAGGCCCTAGTGACTTATGGAAGCAACCCGCAGTGTGGTTTTAACGTTGGGGCTCTAAACAGGAGCCAGCTAGCTCTAAGGCAGAGAGAGGGGCCATGCGAAGCCTTTCCAAATTCGCTTTCCCAGCTGTTGAAGGAAAGTGGTAACTTCCTCCGAAATCACAGTGACTCAATATATAATTACACGACATTCCTCTTGCTCTTTCTTCTCTATCGTGCGCTTAACTTGCACATCGTGTAAACACTCGATCAGCTCTCTCCTATTTTATAATGAGAGTTTAGCAACTGCTTGCATTTCCTTCTTCGTGTTGGCTTCCAGGAGGCTCACATTTGGGTTTTATTTTCAGATACAGCAACCCTCTTGAGTTTGGGGGGTTGGCACATTTATTTATCCACTTTCTTTGACTCTTAAAATTTTTGCTCGTATTTTATTTACTTCCTCTACAAGACATTTTTGGAAGTTGCTTCATTCTTTTTTTTTTTTTGAATGAGGTAGGGAATAAATGAAATCGGTAAACAATTTTGCAAGCCCCTGTCTTACGAATTCATTCTGCTTTCAGCTGGCTCTCATTTGTGACACAGGAGGGATTCTTAACCTGTTTTCAAAGATAAGCTCCTTGCTATTTTGCTGAAGGCTTCAGTAAAGGGGTGTGTGTACGTACCAAGACACTGCAGAATGTGTGTCTTTGAAGAAAGACTGCCTGGGTTCAAATCCCAAGCCCACCACTACCTAGCTGAGCGACTTCAAGCAAGCCCTTTAATTCCGTGTACCTCAGCTTTCATTACGAGAATAATGCTTACCTCTTAGTGTGATTGTAAGGAGGAAATGCTAATACATTCGCAGGTGCGACGCGCTTAGAACAGGTGCTCACTCCGTGTTAATGGTTATTGTTGGTGTGGGGCAGGCAGGTAATGCTGAAATCGAGGCTCTCTACAGAGGGGGAGGAGGAGCTGTCACCACTAGCTGTCCTCTCTCTTCTTGGGACATTATCCAGCCTGTAGAGAAGACAGACAGGGCTGGGCGTACTAACCCCCAATGCTGAGTAGGCCTGTTTCCGGGTGGGGGCTCCTGACTGACATGGCCTCACCCTCATTTCCCAGATTTATTGGTTGAGCCCAAACACTTCTGAGGGAGCTGTGTCTATTCTTTGGTTGAATCCATCTCTCAAGCTTTTCATTCCAATGACTTAGACTTTCCGTTTGGTTCTTTGTTATTAGGGGAGGAGTCCGTGTTCATTTTTATGGAGTTACATGTGCTCATGGTTAAGAGAGCTCGTCCTCTAAGGGAATCTTCCATTCTCCTCCCCAGAGAAGTCACTTTCAGCTCTACTGGTTGATTATTTGGGATTTACTGCTTTCCCTCTCTCTAAACAACATGCTCATATTGTTGTTTCTT